AAGTGGCAGCTCTGCCACAAGGGAAGTCTACCTAGAGCTCACAAGACAACTCAGCCAGACACCTCTGCGAAGGAGGATGCATCCACCTGCCAGCCCAGAAATAGAATTTTTCTATTAGCGCACGCCCATCAGGACTGACATCAGCTCTCCCACTTTGCACCTACAGGGACAAAGAGGGAGGATTTACAAGGAAGCTGCACAGGACACACTTTCATTTGGGGGAGAAACAAGCATCCATTAGTAGTAGCAAAACCTAAAGAACAGCAGCAGATTTTAACCCCTTCATGTCCCACATGCATTTCCCAGGCAAAACCAAATGATACTTTTAGTTCTATATCTACATTCCACATACAAAGATTTATGTAAAAGAATGTTTCTAAAAGTATTATTTATAGTTTGACAAAGCAGAAATAATAAATGTCCACCAGTAAAGGAACAGTTAAATTACGATGCATTTATGATAGACCATTATATACCTAAGATACTTTTGAAATATCTTTAATGACAATATACTGTTACTTTACAAAGATATTATACGAGGTATGACTCAAACACACACAGAGTGAACGCACAAAGCAAATACAAAAAAAATTGGACGGTAATTATGTCTGGTATTGGGATTAGGACTGATTTTTTTTTGTCTTTATCCTTTCTTCCCCCCTTATTTTCCAAGTTTTCTAGAATGAACAAGCTTATTTTTATTGAAAAACGAATCTTACAATAGAGTCATAAACATTAAAGCTTGAGAAGCCTGAGGGGCCTTAAAAACAAAAGACCATCCAGAGTGCTGGTTCTCAGGTGTGGTGGCAGAGACCCCTGCGGCTCCTGAGGCTCTTTTGCAGCATCGAGGTCAATATGATTGTCATTAATAATAAGATGTTTTGCCTTTTCACTCTCATTCTCTCACAAGGGTTCACTAGAACTTTCTAGAGGCTACATGACTTGTATATCACAACAGACTGAAAGCAAAAGGAGACAGGAGAATCCAGCCGTCTTCAACAGGCAGACATTAAAGAGATTTGCAAACATAAAACAGTGCCCTTCTTCTCTTTATCTTTTTTTTTTGAAACATTTTCCAAAAAAGACCTTTTAGGGGCTTCCCTGGCAGCTCAGTAGTTAAGAATCCGCCTGCCAATGCAGGGGACACGTGTTTGGTCCCTGATCTGGGAAGATCCCACATGCCGTAGAGCAACTAAGCCCACGAGCGACAACTACTGAGCCCGCGTGCTGCAACTACTGAAGCCCACGCATCTAGAGCCCGTGCTTCCCAACAAAGAGAAGCCCACGTAATGAGAAGCCCGTGCACCGCAACGAAGAGTAGTCCCCCCCTCCGCCACTATAGAGAAAGCCTGCGCGCAGCAACAAAGACCCAACACAGCCAAAAATAAATGAAAATTAAAAAAAAAATCTTTTAGTTATGTTAACGCCTAATAGGTTTATATTATTTTTTATTTAATAATTCATTAATTATACATTTAAGAATTAAATATTTTTAAAATGTCTTAGTTTTAACTTCTATTATAGCAAATAATACACAAAAGCTCTCTGGGGTTCTAATTTTTAAGAAGTCTTGAGACCAAAAAGTTTGAGGACTGCTGGCTTAGAGTACTGTAATCTAACCCTAAGCCTTCAAGCCCAGCCACTGTAAGACAGACCTTGGCCAGCAGGTAAAATACCAGACAAAAATAACGCAAAGACACTGGGTCAGAGCCTTTCACTTTGAGATGAGCAAAATGCAGAGGAAATGAAAAGCACAATCATAAAAACATATTAAACAACCAAAATAACTAGAAGTGGGGATGGTTAGTGCCACTTCTTTGCTACAAACCACAAAACAAAAACTTGGCCCCTTTTTGGAGGGGAACTTGCTTTCATCTCTCCCTCCCAATCCAAAAAGAAAAAAAAATCCATCATCAACACCAAACTACTAAAATGAAACAAAAAATTCCAACACAGGCAATATTAACCTGATGGGTTAGGCAACTGGAAGTCTAAAGCAAAGAGCAATTATTTCAACGTTCTAGCAGGAGGCTTCAGGAGGACAGCTGGTCAAAAAGAGCCCTGGCTGACCTTCAGGAAGACGGAGGTGATCCCCCAGACACCGGCAGTGACACACAGGTGGGCATGGGGCAGGTCTCAGGGTCAAGGCTGCCGGTCTACTCCCACTGGACTTGAGGGAGGAGCTTCACGAAAGATAGAACAGCGTGCTGCGCACTCCCCAAAGCCAATCCCTTCCTTCTCTGGCTCAGTGTCAGAAGGCATAAAAGAGGTCGATTTATCTTTTATTTTGGTAATTTAAAATAGGAACAGACAAGCTTAATGTGGACTGTTTAATCACGATGAGGATAAACTTGGGCATGGGAAATGCCAGAAGCTTATTAGTAAGACTGTTTCTTTGTAGATGGCTAGTAATTTTGTTTTTGTCTTTAAAAACTCAACATTCTCCCTTCTTTTTGCCTTTTGTATTGAAAACTGGCATATATGAAATAGGTCTCTTATACCAGCAGTCCTCAAATTTTAGCAAGCATCGGCTCATGGGGAGGGCTGGCTGAAACCCAGACTGCTGGGCCTCACCCTGGAGTGTTGATTCAGCAGGTCTGAGGTGGGGCTGGAGAACCTGCATTTCTAACGAGTCCCCAGGACTGCTGCTGCGGCTGGTGACAGATTACACAGAGCCCCGCACTGCGATCCCCACAGGAAGGCCGTGGGCTGGGTGCCCCATTGCCACAGCGGCACAGATCAAGTGGGGGCTCTACTCTCACTTACAGGACAAAATCTGTGACATATGTTAGGAATGACCTTTGGGGCACAAAGGGCACATACTGGTGATCACCTAGGTTTCCTCAGGGATGGAAAAGACCAGGTCTAATTGAGTAAGTGTACCTATATCATAAGATGGGTGAGACAGTCCATGTAAAGTGCTGAGTACAGATCCTGGCCCATAGTGACAGCTCAATAAACATATTATTTGCATTACAATTAAATGGGGGAGCCAAAGGGCTGGGCCAATGAAATATGGAGAAAGGATAACCTGGAATTCAGAGCTGAAAGAACTTTCTTCATTCTCTTGGGTCTCAGTAGGACGTGGCCTCAAAGGGAAGAGCAGAGGAGAGGCCAGTTCCGTGCTCACTTGTCAGGTGCACTAAGGTCGTGAGGAAACTCCTGACACAGGTAGCCCTGGCCACCTCTCTTGTGAAGGAGCTGTTATCAGAGAGAAATGCAAGTCAGCTGCTGAGCCGAGATACCAGGGTGTGAGGAGCTGCTCTCACAAGCTCCAACGAAAAATGGCTATTTTCCTTTTAAAGAACTAGCAGACCACAAACATCCCAATGACGCTCAAAGCAGTCAACCTGAGGAACCATACATCTCTCTCCACCGGTTTACTGCTTACCAATAAGCAATAAACTGCCCCTTTTAAAAAATCACCTTTATAACTTTCCCCACTTCATCTCTCCAGCCTGGGCTCACAGGCAGCTCTTCTGTCCCCTCAATCCGGCCACATGCTGTTTGCTGAGGGGACACGTGCTGTGACGGCTCCCTCCCCAGGAACCAAGAGTGAAATGAAAATGGATGTGAAATGTGAACGATCATCTACTTCTATGTGTCTTAGTGAAAAACACGACCACTTGCTAGTTTTATCTAGCAAACAAGTCTTGCTAGTTTTATCTTGCTGAATCAATTTTCTCTAAATTAGTTACGGAAATCTGTTTGGATCTCCTTTGTCTATTGCTCTATTTTTTTAAAAATAAATTTATTTATTTATTTTTGGCTGCACTGGGTCTTCGTTGCTGTGCGTGGGCTTTCTCTAGTTGCAGCGAGTGGGGGCTACTCTTTGTTGTGGTGCGCGGGCTTCTCATTGTGGTGGCTTCTCTTGTTGTAGAGCATGGGCTCTAGGCGTGTGGGCTTCAGTAGTTGTGGCACGCAGGCTCAGCAGTTGTGGCCCATGGGCTTAGCTGCTCCGTGGCATGTGGGATCTTCCTGGACCAGGGCTCAAACCCACGTCCCCTGCATTGGCAGGTGGATTCTTAACCACTGTGCCACCAGGAAAGCCCCTGTCTATTGCTCTTAATTTAAAAGAGAACAACTCAGGTTAACTGTGGAAAGAACTGGATGTACTGGACACTGGGTCCCCATTGATGGCACCTGGCCTTGTTCCACCACCAGCCTTTGTTAGGGTCTTGGAAATGGGCAACATTCAGGGGCTTAGCCTTCAAAGTCCAAGATCTGGCTACACTAATGAGCTCCAGAGAGAATCGGGGGACACTGCTTTTAAGTTTTCCTACTTCTTTTTCCTGTTTGCTAAAAACATGTTCAAGCGTCTCCGGCGGCAACAGGAAGCCAAAAGCAGCGTCCTCAGAGCTCGGCACACCGTCATTGCGGCAGCTTCCCACTGCCCCTCCCCACACCTGTCACTCAGGTGCAACCCATCTCAGCTGTCCCACATGCACGACATGCTTTCTACCTTTTCTCCCTATTAAAACAAGCTCAGATATCACAGAACTAAAAAATATTAGACTTCAGTAGAATAAAATCTTTAAGTTATACTAAAATGCATGCAAATAGTAATCAAAGTTTACATTCCTTACTTTTTGGTTACTCTCATCTCCTCCATCTATCTCTGAACTCGGTGAAACTTGGCCCTCACTCATAAATGGGGTCCAGGAGGGACGAGGAAACCCACACCCTCAGGTGGTTAGACAGAGCTGACACTGGCTTACCTGTTCTCCACGCTATGGCCTGTGCCCTGGCCTCCCACACACATTAAGCTTTAATATAAGCAGTGCTCCAGCAGGCCCGATGTTGACAGCTGTTACTTCATTACTGGAAAAATGAGGAGGGCCTGAAAATCCCACCTCTCTTCCCAGTTACTTGCTTAAGGGTCAATGTGCTTTGGTTCGTCCACGTGTGATACAAACCCCAAAGAAAGCCACTGCTGGGACGGTCTTCCACAGAGTCAAGTGGAAAACCCGGCTGTGACCCTGGGAAGCAGCACAGCTCACCTCTGGCATGATTTCTATCTTCTCATACCGACGCTTGAAGGGCAGGGCGAGGACCTCGGCGCGCCGATAGGACATGGCAGGTGGCTGGCAGTCAATCATCAGGTCCATCCGGTGGGACTGCGCCGGGGGCGGCTGGGTGTACTGCTCAGGACAGACCACGTGGAGGGGCTGAGGAACCAGCGGGACAGGGGCAGGGTGGGGGCAGAAGGAGGAGGAAACAAGAGGAGGCTGTGAGGCAGGAGGGGCCGCGTCCTGAGCTAAGCCTCCCTTTGCGGTGCTCAGGCTCACCACTTGGCCGTTTCGAATTCTCATCCTGTCAAACCCAAGTAACCAGTGAGCGAAGTTGGGGGGAAAGAAGAACAAAAATTTCAGGGAAAAGCCCTGATCTGCTGGCCATGTTGATGAGCAAGGGATTTACTGTCTTGGTTTGCATTTATTTTTTCATTATATTTAAGTCACTTTGATGGGGACGGCCATGGGTCTACCCTCAAATGACCTCTGAGCCCCTTGAGGGCAGTCTTCTCGTCACTTCCCATCATCGACTTGGTACTACTACTGGCTGATTAGCAAGAACTGTGACTTTCTGTGCTAGTTTGGATTTCTGGTCTGGATCTTCAGCTCTACTGGTACTACACAGTGGGCAATGGTGAGGCCTTATCCTCAGTTGTGTAGGACACACTGAATCAGATAAAATTTTTTATTTTTTAACAAATGTCTCTTTTTACTATCTTGAGAGAAAACCAATTAGTAAGCCAATGTTTACTTTGGCCAAATACCACCCAACTGCCAACCGAAAGTGGCACCCAGAGAGTCAAGGCATTGTCACTGCGTTTACTGAAGAGTCTGGACCGAGCCTCAAGTTCCTGGAAGAACAAGGCTTCCAAGAGACCTGACGGGTTGCGTTTCAAACTGCACTTGTCCTCTAGGACTGACACCTCTCCTCCTCTTCGGACTGCTTTCACCCTCCTTCCTGCCCGGTTAGCATCTTATAACTGTCTCAAAGCCAGTCGACCCCACAGTCACTGCCTGAGGACTCTCCCCAGCAGTGGAGACCAGGCGGCCTCCTGTTTCCCTCATTCACACACCACCGAGGGGCTGCGGAGTCCGCCGTGGTTCAGGGACAGTGGGTGACATTACTCAGGAGTGAAAACAACAGGCTCTTAACTGTTCCTTCCAGCAAGCTGACAGGCACACAGTGGTGTATCAGATCGCTCATGGAAATCGGAAGTGGCTTAACTGCTCCAACCATGTCTAGAGAAAGGCCCAGCAAGCTCGGGGTCACCGTCAGCTGTTTACCCCTGCGCTCCGGAGGTCTCCAGCTTTCTCTGTTTCCTGCTGCCCTTCCTTAGAGTTTCCTGTTAGCGCCTCTCCTCCTGAGGTCAGGGGTTCTGTGAAGAGGAGGAAAGTGATCTCCCAGCTCAGGCCGAGAAATGTAGGGAGCCAACCACACCTCGCTCGGCGACTAGGGTCCAGGGCACCCCAGCGCTCATGTAAGGTCCCGGGCACACCGAGGTGATGGGACATCAGAACCCTTCCTCTCGCCTGTTCTGAGCTGTTTTCCTCACCAACTGCCACCACCCCTCCAACCCCGAAACACAGGCCACCCGAATGATAAGTGACCCAGGGCGGTGAGTTTTTCCTCCCCGTTCTCCTTCTGGGCCAACAGTGTTCCTTTCGCCTATGCTTTACCCCAACTACTCCCTCCCTTTCTCTAAGGCAGAAAATGCAAAATGAAACAAACAAAAAAGCGACAACCACCAAACCAAAACAATCCGCTAACAAACGCATAACACTGTGGTACTAACCCACGTGTGCAACAAGGGCCCAGTATATGTTTCAGTTCAGCTGTCTTTCATCTTGACAAGTATGTTTCTAGAATGATTTGTTTTTGGTGGTGGGAGGGGAAATTTGCTTTTAACTGGACACAAATGGTCCTCATCAAAAATGAGACACTGTTTACACTTTCTTTTCCTCCCACTTTTGATTTCTTTAAAGGAGAAACTTCTTTCATGGTGTAAAGCCCACTGGTTTGGAGTCTGGAGGGTACCGGGCTGAGCACTCCGCAGACCGAGAATGGGTGAGGAAGACAAGCAGTGCAGCTCGCCATCCTGGCCCTCACACCACAGACACAATCCGCACAGAGATGCCAGGACCGTGGGAGCCGCCAGCACAGTTTCCCCATTACCTGCACTTCTTTGAGCAGCTTTGACACTTGGATGAAATTCAGTCTCGTATCAATGGGGCAGTATATGCATTTCATGGCCAAGGGCTGGTAGGGAGCCAGTGCTTCCAGGTATGAGAAGTCGGGCTCTAAGGGGAGCACAAGAAAGAAAATTTAAAATGCAGGCAACAGAGGAACAGCCCAGTGGGGAAGCAGCTGGCATGGTCGAGGCCCAGCAGACGGGCAGCATGACAGGAAAGGCACTGAAGGTTACAGGAGCCAGATTCCCCATCACGGGAGAGAGGAGTGATTTACAAATAAGGAGAGGGGGAGGCTGGACTGAACGCTGCAGGATGGATGTGGAATTGGAGGGACGGTGTGAACTCCAGGTTTTCAACACAGATGGAGAGAGAGATGAGACAAATGAGGGGATAAATAAGTAAATGGGGGAGAAAGGAAAGCTCTTCTTTACAACAAAATGCCAACTAATAAATGTAAAAGAAGTGATGAAATAGAAAAAAAAATCCATCATTTGGCAACCATCACAGTAATAATTTATTTGGACCAGAATCAATAGATGCTAAAAAAAATTAGATAAACACCTGAGGAAGACCAGGATAAGTACATAGGCTCGAAGTGTCCCCCACAAGATACTGATTGACACAGAGCAGTGACTTCACAGTGGAGAAAGCCGGCACAAGCCACTCGAACGGAGTGCTCAAAGATCACCCCCAGGTAGGAGACAGACCATGTGCCTCCTACTTGACAGGATGCACCCAGAAGAAAAAAAAGAAGGATCCTGACCCCACGTCAACAAAATGCTTGTGCTGAGGCTGCGATGCCCCATCAGCAGAGCCAGTGCAGTGCCTGGGAACCATCCTTGCCCCGCTGGTTGGTTTGTTCTCTGCAGAGCTGCTCACCACGGCCAGCCTGGCGGGGATTGTTTGCTCTGCTGGAGGAAGCTGCCCACCTCGGGCCAAAAGCAGTGGCTCACTCCTGCTGTGAAAAACGACACACAGGTTCCTGACACAGTCTGTGCCCTGCGAGGACGCCACTTCCTACTGCCCCAGCTTTCCACACACCGCTCCCAGGAACTTACACGGTGACCTCAGGGCAACTCACAGAACTTCCACATTTTTTAAATGACCTCCCCTGCAGTGGATCCTGTCTACCCCGGAAGAACCCAGAGACCACCCAAATGAGGCCAGCACAGCTGCCTGGGGGATAAGCGCTTCTCTTTGTATGGATACTGTGTGAGCTACAACTCCCACAGTCATAATACAACCAGATAAGGTGGCCCAAAATCTTGCAGACATTGTCAACGACACAACTTGTGCTCTGGAGGTGTAACACACCAGTTTAAATGTATACTCGTTACCCAGATGAATGTCTGGTAATGAATGCCATGGACAATCACGTAGCCCTTGCTTTCTTCTTAGCTGGCTGGAGGGACGTTTGGAGTATAGCAACGCCTCTTCTGTGTCTCTGTAATACTGTACCCACTGTCACATCAGAGCCAACATCTCCTCAGAAAGAACAGGAGAGACCCCCTCAGTCCTACTACAGCCCCAGCGTTCTCTGGATGACTTCCTGCTTAGCAGAACTTGGCAATGGTGAGGCTCTGGGTAGCGTGAATCAACGTCTTAGGGCCTGACTTCCTCTGCCTGTGGCTGAAACGGGGTCTGCGAGGGAGAACAGCAGCGCCCGACGGCTGCTCTTCTGAACGCCCCCGGCACTCCTGGCCAGGCCACGGTGGCACCCGCCTACTGGAAGTAAACCACCTCACATGACGCTGACATGAGAAAAGGCCACGCAGTGACCACGATGGATCAAGACAAAAACAAGACCCTCCCTAATCGTGCCTGAACATAAGACCACAGCACGTCCAAACCACCAAACAAGCAAACACTGCCCTCTCCTGGCTCCGTTCTTCTCGCCTTCTAGACAAGAATCACTAAGATACCCAACCAGAGAACTACTGCTTCCTGATGGCACCTAAGCCAGAACAATGAACCCACCTCCAAAATCACCTAAGCCAAGGCCCGTAAGTTCTTCTGAATGTGCCCGGCGATGCCTCCTGCCTCCCCATGGTGGTACCCCCTCACTGCAAGGAGTCAGTAGCCCAACTCTGTTCATTACTGGTGCGTTGCCGGTGGCCTCTGGTTGGTCCTCACAACAGGCTGAGCACAGGGAAGGGCCCAAGCGTCCCTAACCCAAAGCTTTGGGCATGACTAGACTCTTCTCCGTGGCTCACATCTTCAAGGTAATTAGAGAACTCCAAGAAGGCAACTGGTACTTTCTCAACAGGCTTTTGTGCCAGGCACTATAAGGAGTGCTTTCTTTCACTAAATGCACAGAGCTGCCTGAGGATGAGCAACCAGCAACCCCATTTTACAGAGGAAAGTGAGGCTCAGAGCGGTGAGTAACCCAGCTGAGGTTACAGTAACTCGGACCAGATTTCAGATCAAGGTTTTTTTACCTCATTGCCCTGAGATTTTCAAATCCCAGGGCTGTCTGAAGACCGTGAATCGATAAAATAAGATAGTGATTAAGTAAAAACCCTAACTTGCCCTCATTTAAGGATTAGTTTTATTCTGAGGGGTTGGTCTCCATAAGAAAAACGGCAAGCCAGAGTAAACTATAACCAAAGGAGAAAGATCCATCTCCGTAAGTAAGTCCTAAAGGGTAAAGCAAGACTGATTATTAGAATTCCTGCAGTTCTTGAACAGCTTACAAAATCCTATCAAAAGTAGTTCTAGACCAGAAATCTGTCTCGGGGAAAATCTACAAAAACAGATATGAAAGCTCTGTCCAGTGCACAGTGATCTAACAGGACATTTTGCTTTGTTCTTACCCTTTCCCTTCCAGTTGCTTTATCCTTTGGTATTTACAACAGAATAGGGATCATATTTATACCTTATAACTTACGGTCAAATTCTTCCCAGCGTCTCTACCTGGTAGGTACATCCTACCAGGTATGCAGGGATGGTCACAGTGGGAAGGGCAGGGTTTTGTTTTGTTGGTTTATTTACCTGTGAATATGACAGTGTTGAGACTAGATTTTCCCCAGAGCTCCATGAAATGGACCACGTCCCCAAATCGGAGGGAAGGGTGTCCAGTGAAAACCACACACGGCTGTCTGAAGTCGTTGCTGAAGTCTCCATGGATGCTGGGGTAGTGCTTCAGCTTGTTGGTCTGAATGAGCTAGAATACATATCAAAAGCACATGAAGAGACATTAGCCTACCCAGGAAGGAAGAACCACAGCATGGGAGAGTGAACAAATTAAAAATACAAGATAATGCTATTAATATTAGCCAAAGATCCAAATTTTTTACCTACAATGTGACTTTCTCAAAAGATGGGACCTTTTGGTAAAATTACCAAACTTAATGGAAACTTCTTTTCAGGTTGTTATGGCCTGATTCTGTCTAACCCTTCCTTTATAGCTTCCTGACACTCCATGCTCCAGGCCCTGAAGTCCCCAATATTAGTTACTGTTTGAAGTGCAAGTTTCCCAAACTCTGTGCATCACCGAGTTCTGTCAACAATAAACACTTCACACAAGAAAAATTGTTTACCAGCACAGGACTGCCTCTTGAGACGGTACAGCTGTGTTAAGTTACTGTGGCAAGGGGCAGGGGACTTAATAAACACAAGAACAAACTGGCTTTCAGCAATGCGGGAGATGTGATGTCCTCACGACAGAGAGCTATAGTAAGAAGCAGGCGATGCACAGTCTCAAACCTGTCTCAAAAGTGAATGTTTTGAACCAAAAAGGTCTTCCTTCTAGCACAACACTGGGAACTACTCTCCTAACGCCGGGCCCGACCCAAGGCAACGCCATATACAGTTACAACCACAGATGGCATCTTGTGGCACTGCTCAGAAGTTCTTCCTGCTGCCTCAGCCCTGCCCCCACTGCCCCACTCTAGCAGCAAAAGGATGGCAAACACCCATACTTCAGAGACCCTAAATATCAACTAGTAGTGCCCTGAGATGCTGTCTGATGGGGAAAGAATTGGTCTGTGACCCAGCTCAATCCTGTAGCCACCCATAACGCCTAAGAAGGGAGCCCAGCCAACAACTCCAAGCCCACTGTAGTCACCCCAACAGTGAGGATGTGGCCAGAATGGGGCCACCCACAAGTGGAAGCTGACTCTCTTCATCTTGAAGATTTAATCTTTAATTCAGAGAGACTGCTTTCATTAGCAAGACTACCCTGGAGATCTTAATTAGCTGTCACATGCTTGGATGGGATATGAATAGTAAAGATGCAACAATCACTGCATTCCCACTTCCCTTCCAAGTTATATACAAATACAACTGACATTCTTTGTATAACCCATCTGGCCAAAATCATTACTTGCCCCAGTTAAACAGGTGAATGGCTGACTAAAGGACTAGTTCTGCTGTATCCATAGATGTCGAGGAGATGAATGGGATTCTAAGAAGAGCAGCAGGTCTTTGCACATAAATTAAGTCACTTTTTAAGGCAAACTGAGGTGTTTTTTTTTTGCCAATCAGATCTACTTTTCCAGCGGACTTACTACCTTTTTGACCATCCAGAATTACCTTTGTGCTGATTTAAGGTCCAAACTGTATAGGCAATGAAGCTGTAGGGTAGGAATTCTGTAAACCAATTTTAAAAATCAGTACTAAGGGCAGAACTGTATTTTCTCATGGGCACTGGTCACATAATACCAATTATCAACTCCATCATGCCCTAATATTGACAAGTGCATTTCAGGAATCCTGATCATGCACCTATGGTCTTTTCACATTCTTAACTGTAAATAGGACAAAGGTCATCCATGACATAGTTGTGGGTAAGAACATGGTAACACCCTTAGAGAACACGTTCTGAAGAAAGGCTAATTGTTATTAGGGAAGAGGCAAATTGACTTTCAGTGTTTTGCTACACTTAATGTTTTGCTACACTTAATTTTCTGACACGAGATATCTAGCCTGAATTTCACTGTAGTAATGACAGAGCTTGCAAAAATCTTGGCTGCTGTAAGAGAGTATGAGGACTGCAAATAACTTCCTCAAAACCTCCCACTTGACATTCTGGTTCATGAAAGACCTGTCCTTTGGAGTAGGAAAACAGCAGTCAGATTTAAAATAATCAGCAGGACAACTGCTGCCATTTTCTTGAGCCGGATAGTTAACTGCATAGCAAATAAGTCAACAAAATCCCTATGCATAAGTACCTGCACAGACATCCCTAAGTTGATGGAATTTTTACAAACTGAAAACTTCCACGTTCCCATATGCACATCAATAAACAGCATTACCAGCTCCTCAGAAATCCCCCTTTGTCCCCTTTCTGCCCCCACTGCTACCTCCAGGATAACCATTCTCCTGGCTTTTAATATCACAGACGAGTTTTCTGTGTGTTTGAACTTTTATATAAATAAAATCACACCATATCTACTCTTTTATATCTGGCTTCATTCACTAACATTATGTTTGTGAAATTTACCTACATTGTTGCATATAATCGGAGTCCCTTCATCCTCTTTGATGTAAGGTGTGAATATACCACAAAATTCATTCACCCGTTGATGGACATTTGGGTACATTTCAGCACTATTACCAAGAGGGCTATGAAGATTTCTGTGCAGATCTCTGGGTGACACACCTGCATTTCTGTTCAGTACAGACTTTGGGAACGAAACTGCTGAGGCACAGAGGATGTCACAGTCCTAGGTTCAACTTTACTGTCAGTTTCCTAAAGTGGTTATACCAATTTACACATCCTTTTCAAAAAACATAACAAAAAACTGGGAGTAATGCTATTGTCCAATAGGAAGGGAATGGTTAAGTACACTATAGTATGTTCACATGATATGCTACGGAATATTAGGTAGCAATAATAACAGTGAGGTGCACAGATAAATGTCTACGATACACCCAGCACTGGGTGAAAAAAAAAAGCAGTAGAAACAAAATTGGGCACACACAACCATATAAAATCACTCACTGGTTCTGTGAGGAAGGGGGAATTTTTCTGGTTTCTAAACTGAAATGTTCTTATTTTCATCATTAAAAATTTATACCAATAACAGACACAGCCAAACAAAAAGAAAACTTTGGCAATAAGTAAACCATTTATGCAAAAAAGTAGAATAAAATTCCTCACTCGGTCAATGAAACAGAGGTAGGCTATTAACTGAATAACATACTGGTAATATAATGTGTTAAGAAGAAGAGAAAGTAACCAATCCTGAGTCAGAGTACTTCACTGCCATCTTACAAGGGAAACAAAGGGCTATATCAAATTACCTTCAGATTTTAAAAATCTAATGACCTGCTATATCTACCCATATCTATTTATCTACATTTTGTTCTTGCTCTGACCCAGTGATTCCATTTTCTTACCTCTGCATGAGGAAAAGGCGGTTCTGGGAGATACACCTTAGTCTGTTTGTTGTGACAAAGCCTTTTGAGGAGGAAAAACAGATCAGCAGGTTAGGCAAGGGCATACAGTGGCATCTGTTGCCACCTAGTGGTAGCAGCGCAAATACTGAATACCGAAGTTTATTGGAAATTTTCCTGTCAGTGTATCTCACTGTGAATAAAACACCAGCATTTATAGCGTAATCAGGACATAAGTCACTTGTGAACACAGTTTTAACCTTTGAAATTCCTCAATACATTTTTTTCTTAAAAAATAACCTTCTTATTTTTAAGTACTTTTAGATTTACAGAAAAGTTGCAAAGACAGTAGAGTTCCCATGCACCTTTTAGCCGGTGTCCCACTATGTTTGTTAAACTAAGAAATAAACATTAGTACTTTACATTTAACTAAACTCTAGACTTTACTTAGCTTTCACCAATTTTTCCAATAATGTTATTTTTCTGTTCCAGGATCTAATCTAAGATACCGTATTGCATTTAGTTGTGATAAAAAAAAAAAAAATTTTTTTTTTTTTTTTGGCTGTACCTCGCAGCTTGCAGGATCTGAGTTCCCCAACCAGGGATTGAACCTGTGCCCCATGCAGTGGAAGCACAGAGTCCTAATCACTGGACTGCCAAGGAATTCCCTAGTTGTGATCAATTTTGAGGAGAAAGTGATACACTTTTTTTTTTTTGAGACATAGCTTTTCTATTTTATACATGCACCATTTCATTAATAGCAGAATTGGTAACTCAAACTGGAGAATAATAAATCTCTCCAGTAACTCTATCTTAATCTAGACACCGTGAATGTTTTAGGTAGTCTGTGTTTTTCCCTAGCCAGATATGACATTTAAAATATGGAGATTTCTGGAAAAGCAAATGTGGCAAAAGGTTAACAATTGTTAAATCAAAGTACGTGGGTGTTCTGTAGCTCTGACATTTTTAAAAAGTTGGAAAAAATATATGTAGTGATTATGTTTGTTAAAGCCTGCTTCTAAGAATTCTATCAAAATAGAACTAAAGCATTTCAACAATTCTAATAGATGTTACTTTTGGCAGAATAATTCAGAACTCTGGGGCTTGGCTTGGATTTTGTCTGAACTTCATTAATTATCTAATTTTTCCTTCTTTACTTTAACTCGATTTCAAAAACATTACTTTATATCCTTTTTGGAAGAAGTTGTACATATGGGAACAAGATACTTTTGAAGGGTTATTTATTAATAATATCTAAACAGACAACAGTACTGTCTTTATTTCAAACTCAGGAGGAGAGACAAAAGTCTTAGTTTAAAAGTTTAATTTCGATTGTTGCAAAGGATAGTATGCTATATCACTTAGCATCAATACATAAAGCTGTAAAACTAAAATACTTCTGTCAAAAAAATCAAAGAGCTAAATGCAATGTGGTACCCTGGATTGGATCCTGGCATAGGAAACAAGCATTAGTGAAAAAACTGGTGCAATTTGAATAAAGACTGGAGTTCAGTTAATAATAGAGTGCTCATGTTGCATTTCTTAGTTTTGGTACAGAACGCATGGCCATGTAAGATGTTAACATTGGGGGGAAACTGAGTGGAAGGTATATGGGAGTTTCTGTATTATCTCTGTAATTTTTCTGTGCCTAAAATTATTTACTAAAGTAACAAGTTATTATTCAAAAAACAAAATCAAAGACGAAATTGAAAAAAGGTATCACAATGGGAAACAATGTCTGCAGATATAACAAAGTGTTAGGATCTTTAATACATATATAGAGTTCAAATAAATAGATAAAAGTACAACACCTCTGATAAGTAAATGGGCAAAAAAGGAACAATTTATAGATGACATAAAAATTTTTCTGGAAAGCAGTTTAGATTTGTATAATGAACATTAAAAGCTATTTATACCCTTTGTTCCAGTAATCTTATTTTTAGTAACTAACCCAAAGCAAAAGATGTAGTCATATATACACAGAATGATATTAATTGAAAATTTATCACTAAAAGGAAAAAGATTGGGAAAAGCCTGTCCACCCCTTCAGACAATAGTTAAGTAAATTATACTACATATAAATGATGATTGATGATGTAATAAAGCAGTCAAGCAATAATTATGGTCTCAAAGATTTTATAATGCTCTAATCTAGTATTAAAAAATTTAAAGGCAGGATTCACAATTAAATATGCAGCACGATCCCTATATAGAAAGAAGAAATACATCAGAATCTAACAGTGATATTATTTCTGGACAGTGGGATCACGGGTTCAGTTTTTTTTTACTGTTCTCTGTTAACTTGTTATTTTTCTATAGTAAACATGTATTACACACATATTAAAAACAAATATCAAAAAATAAAAACTCAAAAACCTACTCTTATTTTAGCAGTCCTGAATTCTACCCAATCAGACATTTTGACAATAAGAAAAGCATGTAATGGCTCAAGAGTGGACTTGAAGGGCACACACCCGGCTAGGACACCATCCACAGGGGCCCACAAGGGCTTGCCCAGGAGCTTGTAGTTTTCAATATTTTTAACTGAGGATCTGGATGAAGAAATTCAGAACATGCTGATTAAATGTGCAAGTCATCCTTAGGGTGAACTACCACTTATGCAAGATTACCTTCCTGTGTTGGGGGAGAAAAAACTCTAAGCAAAGGATAAAATTCAATGGCTACCAATAAAAGTGACTTTTTATTGTTAGTCACTAACAATAAGTCAAATATAAATAACAACGAAAAGTCCTATGGACAAACATGAATAATATGCACATGGGATGGAGAAGCCTGCCTGGATCTAAAAACAGAAAAAAAGGACCTTCACCACAACTAAAACAGAGAGAAAAAAACTGTATTTAAAAAGGTGGGGAGGGGAGGGTGCACACCATAATGCTGGGATATGTTGTACAAATGACATATGTTGTACAGAACGATGTACAAATTACTTTTTTTTTTGTGGTATGCGGGCCTCTCACTGTTGTGACCTCTCCCGTTGCGGCCTCTCCCATTGCGGAGCACAGGCTCCGGACGCGCAGGCCCAGCGGCCATGGCTCACGGGCCCAGCTGCTCCGCGGCATGTGGGATCTTCCCAAACCGGGGCACAAACCCGTGTCCCCTGCATCGGCAGACTCTCAACCACTGCGCCACCAGGGAAGCCCCAAATTACTTTTAAAGTAGAAGCTTCGTAGAATACTGTATCTATTAGGCTATCACACCACTAAATGGGATTAAACACCCTATATATATGTATGTCACAGTCCCATCCTAAGGCACTACTGGATCCATTGTAAAAGTTAAGTTGCTCTATTTCTTCCTACCCCTGACTTTTTTTGGCCAGGCGAGTTAGATTCAAATATCCATCTAAATAATCCTAAAAAGGTTCACCCACTCCATATTGTTCAATAATTTACCCATCCTAGGATTTGATCAAACAATTTCCTGCTATAGTAAAACTTGATTTTGCCAAATATACTATTGAAATGAAAAAATAAGCTAGTTTTTTCCTATCAGATTTGGTATTATAAATTTTAGACAACATGAGCTTGGGCTTTGAACTTTTTTTAGCTTTTGTAATAGACAGAGGGTAGCATGTGAGAAGGTAAGTGTATAATAGTTTTGTTACTGATTTTCAAAGTGCTGGCTAAGCTACGTCTTTGCCCTCCCACCTTCCCTCCTTCCCTTCTTAATAACAATTCTTCTAAACTCTGGCAATATCACAGATTTGGCTTTCATTAATATAATCTTCACATCACAGACAGGGGAAAACAACAAAATGAAGGTTTCATAGTAATGTGAGAAAAATATAGGATTACTTCTATTTCTTTTTAAATTAAAATTAAGAACATTTTTCTTTTCTTACTGCTTGAATGTACTGAATCACAGGAAGAACAGAGACCTACCACTCAGCAAAAATCTGGGAAAACTCAAGTGAACTGTTAGCCACTGGGGAGATGAAGTAGAAAGGAATGCTGGAGAGGCCGGCAGAGTCAATGTACTGATACAGGCATTCCAGAAGGTCATAGATCACTCCAGAAGGGTAGCAGGGGACCAATACGTTTCCTCCGTTCCGGACTGTCAGCGCTAGAAAGGTTGAAGCCACACAACATTGTAAATCAACTATACTTCAATTAAAAAAAAAAAAGAAAAGAAAGGTTGAAGCCAGAGGGGGGAAAAAAAGTAGTATCAAAAGAACAGTTTGACACAGGGAGAACAGAACTTTAAAAATAATATTTGCATTTCTCTCATTTCCTACATCTGTTCCTATAATTCACTTCATATGTATAAAAATTTACTTCTTTTGAAGACTAGCACCAGAGTGGGAGGATCCAGAGGCTGAATGATGATCAGCTGTTTTTAACCAATGTCTCAGTGCCTGGGAACAGGGTGTGCAGTTAGGGGTCTGGGTTGTCAAGGTTCCCAATGGCAGATGAGCTTCAGGACAGACCCTCCAAGCTCCTTCTCTTTTTAGATCCTGCTTAAAACTCTGCTGGATTTGTCTCTCTTCAGCCTCTGACCACTGCTGAATGACCTATAAGGAAACAGGCCAAGTTTTTTCCGTTTGACTCATTTTAGTGGCATTTTCTTTCATTAATGTTTTGGCTATAAGAAAATCCTCTATACTTTAAATACTTAAAATAAATTATCAAATGAGGAATTGCAACTTACGGTAAAATCATATTAGAAGCTATAACTGGCTAAAAAAGGCCAAAGATCTCTTGTTTGTTTTTTGTTCAGTTTCCAACATAGATTGAAACAAGCAGCGTTTGGGTACAGAACTTGAAGTCTCTGATGACTTTTATCCTCCTCCTACATGTTCCCAACTCTGACATCCAGGTTCTGCTGGATGCTGTGCCTGGAATACTGGCTGACTTGCTATTACTAGAGTACGGAACCACGGAAAAGACCAGATAGCCATCAGGGCTCAAGAGGCCTGGCTCTAGACCCGCCTCTGTCACAAGCTATGGGACCTTAGTTAGGCCACTGTAACTTCCTGGGCCTCAGCTTCCTCATCGCTGATGAGAGGAGTGAACTAGATCAGTGGTTTTCAAGCTTTATTTTGCATGAAAACTGCCAGAACATGTTAAAAATGCAACTTTTCTATGGGTCTCTCTTACTAGGTCTGTGGTGGGGCCTCAAAATTTGCATTTTTGGGAAGTGGCCTCACTGATCTTGAGGCAGGTGGTTAGTGGACCCCACTTTGAGAAACAGTGGATTAGATGTAAAGTTCCTTTAAGACCTGAAGTTCTTTGAGTCCATGATTCTGGATTATACACAAACATACAAATCAAAGATTCTATTTGAGACCAGTCCGATACTTTTTCCATGCTAAGAATAAATTACCTTTGTCTTAAAATCAGCAAAGAACAAAAAAAGACTAGGATTATTGGCAAGGGCAAGTGAAATTTCAAAGGATAGTGCCTTCCATGTAAATATTAGATGACAACCACTTCTTTCCCCCAGAGCTGAGGTAATATCACTTACAGTTGCCAGGGGTGGGGGGCCTGAGTGCATTAACTCCTCTTTGGCAACAGTTTTGGAGTGAAAGTTTGTGTCTCCTAAAGTTCATGTATTGAAGCCCTCACCCCCAATTGGGTATTAGGAGGGGGAACCTTTGGGAGGTACCCACATCTAGATGAGGCCATTAGGGTGGAGCCCCCATGATGGGATTAGCACACTTATAAGAAGAGGAAGAGGCACCAGAACAGCTTTTCTTCACCAGTGAGGACACAGCAAGAAGGCTGCTGTCTGCAAGCCAGAAAGAGGGTCCCTCACCAGAACCCAGCCATGCTGGCAACCTTCTGACTTCCTAGCCTCCAGAACTATGAGAAATTAGTGTTGTTTAAAGCTTATACTAAGGTATTTTGTTACAGTAGCCTAAGCTAAGACAATAAGCAACCTACACATTTCTAAAAGAAATGCAGCATTTCTAGATTTTACTGACAATTATATCCAAAGAAACATACATTTCTTCCAGGTAGCAAATACCCAACAAGTCTCTCAACTCAGTCTTCCCCCAAAAGAAGAAAAAAATAATACCAACCAAATAGTGGGGAAAAAAATACACCTGTTTCACCTGTATCACTGTTGTGAATTCAAAGTATCAACAGTCTTTTCTGTGCTATTATTTGCAAAGCAAAGATATGATTCTTTCCTTCTTTAACTTTGCTTACCCTATAAGCATCCCTGACCTACTCCCAAATCCCACCAGAAAGCAAGAAGAATAAGAGTTTCTACACAAATCAAGTGGGCGAAATATTGTATAAAGTGCTAAAAATTCGAATTTACTGTTATAACCACCATTCCTATTGTGCTTTCAGATTTAAGTTGCTTAAGAATTGCTTTCGTTGACAACAGTAGGCTTTGAAGGATGAGCAGAAAGGGTGGGAATAAACGGGGGGAAAGGCCTTAATAGGGGGCATCAGAGGGTTTGAATGTGAAGGAAAGGGACAAAAAATACCACAGAATCAAGGTATCAAAAAATAAATGTAAAACATTTCATCCTGTTTAAGATTTGCATTGGATACATACCCAGGTTGCTGCAGAACTCTCCCACCATGCCGTCTGGGTTTGCGGTGGGAATCTGGGTAAGGCCTGTCAGAATGAGAACATCGCTGTTTTTGAGAGAAGCTTGGTCCATGGGCTGAAAAACCACAGAGAACTATGATTAGTAATTTAAAAAAGAAAAGGTTAGATATAAGTAGTAAAGGAAAAAGAGAATACAGTTATTGCTCTTTCCATGTCCAACTCATCATCAAGTCATCTCACCTCCTCTAATGAAAAGTCTATCACAACAGCGGTTGCCCAAGGGGGATGGGGACCCATGGGAGGGAACTTAATGGGGTGATGAAAAAGTTCTATGTCTTGTTTGGTATGGTGATGACATGATATGAAAATTCATGAATTGTACATTTAAGATCTTTGGGTTTCACTATACATAAATTTTACCTCAATGAAAAATAAGCACATTATCTAATATTTCTATAATGCTTTGCTCTTTTCAAAAGGCTATCTCACACATATCGTTGGTGGCCCTCAAACTTGAGCGTGCATCAGAATCACCTGGAGGTGGATTGCTGGGCCCCACCCCCAGAGCTTCAGATTCAGGTTTGAGGAGGGCCTGAAAAATCTGCATTTCCAACAAGTTCCCAGGAGATGGTCCTGGTGCTGATCTGGGGATCATGCCTTGAGAACCACTGCACTATACAATTTGGTTCTCAAAACAGCTCTGCCAAGTACATGAAACAGGGTACATTTTGAAAATACAGAAGTTGGGACTCAAAGAGCTGGGGTGCGTTTCCCTAAGTCAGTGGCAGAGGAGCAAAGAAGGACACTGGGTTAGGAACCAGAAATGTAAAGCCTCCTTCAATTCCATTACCAGCACTGGACCTCAGCCAAGCCTCCGAGCTGGGTTTCTTATAAAATGGGCCTATTTTTTGACCCATCTCCCTTCAGTGGCTTCTGAGAGTCTCATGTGCTAATACACATGATCTTCCCATAGCCTATGAAGTCCTATGGTGTACTATAGTGTGGTCCTTACGATGTTTTATTTTTGAATTTAACTTTGTTTTCAGAGCATTTCAAAAAAATACTAATTACTTTTTCCAAATAAATCAGGATTAAAATCGGAAACAAAAATGAAGGCCCATGCAAGGATGTATTGTACAACATGGGGAATATAGCCAATATTTTGCAATAACTGTAAATAGAAAGTAACCTTTAAAAATTGTAAAAAAATTTAAAAAAACTTAAAAAGTACTTAATAAGAGGAACAGAAAGGGAAAAAAATGAAGGCCCATGGATTGAGATGCTGGAGAGCTCATCAATGTTTTCACTTTGTAATGCATCTTTTCCTCAGTTTCATTTAACATACTCACCAGAACATCAGAAGAAAAAAGCCAGAAACACTGTTTACTGAGAAGGCTTATCCCTCTTCTTTCTGTTCCACCCAGACTTCCCCACAAAGTTTCAAACAGCAGTGCAGCAAACACCTACCATCTGCATTGCTGTCTCTGAGTATACATGCCTTTTTATGTATCATCCTTTAGCATTTTATATACACAAGGATATATGGGCTTCATTATTTTTTAAAGTAACATGAGTGTGTTTATATAAGCTGCTTTATAACCTGAAAAATACTTCTTTCACACGAATAAAGGAAAAGTACAGTTGTGACAATTACATTGAGTAGCTTCTAATTCCTATTTGCACAGATACATAACAATGCGTGTTAAGAGCTTTTCCTCTGCTCAGGCAGAACTAACCTACCTGTTTGCACTTCTCCAACAAACACACACACACACACACACACACACACACACACACACACACACACACACACACACACACACATATATACACACGTTCATTGTTTCCAGAGAAGGATGAAAGGGGAAGTAAAGTACAGAGGTTTATAGCAGCTGATGTGTAATGAGCCTGGGAACGTTCATTGTGTGCACACACCAAGCAGAAGGAAACTGGGACGGTGACCAAAAGGACCGAGCTTCACTGGATAGCATATTCAGCTTAAAAGCACAACAATTTTATAAGAATCTTATTAGAACAAGCCACTAATGATTCACAGGGCTGATGGGGGATTCAGAGGGCCTAAGAACCTCCTGAAATGGTACACGCAATTCTGTGTGCCTGTATACATTTTTCCACAGATTTAATTAGGTTGTCATTTGGGGCCATGACCCCCAAAAGGTTAATTAAGGACTACTGATCTAAACAAAGGCTCAGTGGGGAGAAAACTCTGGCACTGAAAACATTATCATCTCTGAACCTCAGCCATTACCACTGCCTTCCTTTGAAAATTAAATGCCCATAATAAAAAACAAAGGCAGTACTACAACATGACTACCACCGAGCTGGACACCGAAATACTTCATGATCAAGTACACACACACACACACACACACACACACACACACACACACACACACACACACACACATATATACACACGTTCATTGTTTCCAGAGAAGGATGAAAGGGGAAGTAAAGTACAGAGGTTTATAGCAGCTGATGTGTAATGAGCCTGGGAACGTTCATTGTGTGCACACACCAAGCAGAAGGAAACTGGGACGGTGACCAAAAGGACCGAGCTTCACTGGATAGCATATTCAGCTTAAAAGCACAACAATTTTATAAGAATCTTATTAGAACAAGCCACTAATGATTCACAGGGCTGATGGGGGATTCAGAGGGCCTAAGAACCTCCTGAAATGGTACACGCAATTCTGTGTGCCTGTATACATTTTTCCACAGATTTAATTAGGTTGTCATTTGGGGCCATGACCCCCAAAAGGTTAATTAAGGACTACTGATCTAAACAAAGGCTCAGTGGGGAGAAAACTCTGGCACTGAAAACATTATCATCTCTGAACCTCAGCCATTACCACTGCCTTCCTTTGAAAATTAAATGCCCATAATAAAAAACAAAGGCAGTACTACAACATGACTACCACCGAGCTGGACACCGAAATACTTCATGATCAAGTCAGACTAGATGTTCATAGTTTTAGCCCTAAAACTTGGGAGACATTTCTTATGGATTCCCAGGGCTACTATATAAAAAAGTAGTCTTAAAAGGCTTTTAGTGACGCTCTCCAAACCAAGCTGACACCACCACCATCTCCATTTCACCACCAAAGGGCAAATGCATACATTACTGGTGTCAGTGGTCACTCGCTGAGTGCCTGAAGTGGGCACATTTTGTTTAAACACACAAAAACAGAAAATTCCACTGTGTCCAAGAATCAAATAAAAATACCTTACAAAGCTGACAGTCAAAATCAAACTTGTGGAATAAAATTTTGAAAAAGCCTAGGTCCAAGGATGCTGTGGTCTTTGTGCTGGTCCTCTGCTGATTAGTTTTTTTATACATATAAATATTTTTTAATTAAACAAATATTTTTAGCTGTGTTGGGTCTTTGTTGCTGCGCGTGGCTTTCTCTAAGTTACAGTGTGTGGGCTTCTCGCTGAGGCTTCTCTTGCTGTGGAGCAGGACTCTAGGCACGCGGGCTTCAGTAGTTGCAGCATGTGGGCTCAGTAGTTGCGGCACTTGGGCCCTAGAGCGCACAGGCTTCAGTAGTTGTGGTGCGTGGGCTCTAGGGCGTGCAGGCTTCAGTAGTTGCAGCATGTGGGCGCAGTAGTTGTGGCACTCGGGCCCCAGAGCACATGGGCTTCAGTAGTTGTGGCTCGTGGGCTCTAGAGTGCAAGCTCAGTAGTTATGGCACATGGGCTTAGCTGCTCCACGGCATGTGGGATCTTCCCAGACCAGGGATCGAACCTGTGTCCCCTGTATTGGCAGGTGGATTCTTAACTACTGTGCCACCAGGGAAGTCCCCTCTGCTGATTAATTTTTACTGGACACTTTGCACAGGGCATGAGAAAAAGGAGATCCAGTTTCTAGGCCCTAGAAGCTTATGACGGAGTTGAAGAGAAAACAAGTATGTATAATCAAAAAGGAGGATTTTCCCAAAAGCCATAAAAAATGTAATTCAAATTTCTTGAGTCTGCACTGAGTATCTAACTGCCAGGACGAATGCAGACTAGAGGGCTGCACTAGGCCAGGGGAGGTTACTTGTATATGGCTTTTTGGCAGATGAAGTTTTGGTTCTAGTTTTCTTTCTCTCTTTGGCTAAGGAACTTAAGACTCAATTTCAGGCGGACTTTGGAGTGGCTGAGTGACACCCCTCCCCTCCAAACCCCCCACACCAAAACATCCCTCCTATATGTGCCCTCATGGCCTCCAAGACTCACTATCCCAGCACCGACCACAATGAATTGTAATCGCCTGTTTACCTGTCTGTGTCCCCCACGGGACTATGAAGCTCCCTGAGAGCAAGGACTTTGTATCCTTACTTCCTGGCAAGATGCCTGGCACACAGCAAATAGTAAATAAACATTCACTGAATAAATGAACACATGAAAAGAACATGCATTCTGGTAAGCAGAGTGAGAACATTCCATGCTAGGAAACAGGCACTACAAGTCAGGAACATGAGATAAGCATGTCAACAGCGGGAGGAGGGCCAGGGAGGGCAGAGGGCAGGGGAAGGCAGCCTGTAGATGCCAAACGGATTTATTTGAGAAAAGAAATTAGGAAAAAGAGAGAAAGTATTATTGGTTAAGGGCCTAAAAGGTCAGAATCGTGAAGACTGATAGGCTAGGCAATAAGGAGTCAATGGTCTCAAGCCGGAGGATGACATCTTTAAACAATAAACACAGACAATAGCTGAAGGAAGGGGGGTGAGACCAAACAGACGGAGAACACTTTGAAGGCAGCCCAGACAGACATAAAGGGAAAAAAATTACAATTTCATGGCATTTGAGGATCTGGAAGAAGCAGATCTACACATCATACAAAACAATTAACAGATTTTGGGGAATGGATTGAATATACAGGGCAAGGGAGAAAGCAGACTTTAACATGCTCCAAAATCTGAAGTCAGAAATGCAGTCAAAGGGAAATTTGGATGCAGTGATTTAAAAGAATAAGGAGGCAATAATAAGTCCAGCATCGGTAAGCTGCAGGTGTTCTGAGGGTAGGGAACTGATTTAATCTGAGCTTAAAGATAAAACAGTGGCATGTGATGTATACGGAGATCTGCTAGGTACCTTCATCAAAGTACTTAA